TAAATAAAATTAAATAATTAATAAAATTAATAAAAAGCAATGAAATAAAGTGCCTTTGGTTTCATAAAATTAGTATCTTTGGGCCCAAGTCATCAGAAAGCTTTTAAAACAATGGAGAAACAGCAAACTAGGCATTTGTATTGGAGCAGAGCTCATCTGCATGTATGGTTGGAGTCTCAGGGTTGCAACTGCTGTAACTCCGTGTGAAAGCTGGGACTCTCCATCATGTGAAAGCTGGAGTGCACTTCTCCAAATCAGAACAGAAACAAGCTTCAAGAAGGCATCAGATTGTAAACAAAAACAAGGCTTCTGTCCCCTGCTATGGAACAGAAGTAAAACAGACATGGCAATGATCTTATTCAATGTGTCCCCTTTATCCTCACGTACAAACAGGGGAGCACAGACTAAATAATAACACATAATTTTTATGTCCTTTGGGTTTATCCAGAAAGAGAGAATGAAGCATGTGGACAAAATAGAACAGCTGTAAATTATGCCTCAGATGCTGACTGCATCAGCAGAGATTCTTGCAGTCTAATTGTCTCTTAAAGCAGCACAGTAACAGATGCAGAAGGAAACACTTGCAAACACAAGAGGAGAGAAGAAAAATAACTCTTCGGTACTGGAAGAAGATTTTAAAAGACACATAGACAAGGAAGAAAAAAAGAAAATCAATAAAATTTCCACAGGATCTCATAAGTAAATGTTCCTACCACACAGTTCAAGAGCCACTTGAAGCCTCCATTTTTTTCTACATGCAGCCTCTAAAACATATTTCAGTTGTGTCCACTCTGCTAAAAATAATATATGTGGAGTTTTTCATTCTGCATTAAGTGACCTCCTGTGAGGAAAATCTCAGCAACCATATTCTATATCATATGTTTAGAATTAACTAGAGACACTTAATCAAGATTTTGTCTACCTTCCCCAATATTTACTGAAAGTCCATATTTAATATCAGTTGCCACTCATATCACTTAAATGGCAGATGAAAGTCACAAGTTGGCAACTTTTACAATTTATTGAGAAACCTCAGCTAATTAAGTGCAGAAGGAAAACTGGGATTACATTTGGAGAAAAGAAAGATTGCATGTGTTTTCCACTATATGTAAAAGTTTTATCATCATAAGGAAATTATGGAGACAGAGATAAAACTGAGATAAGACACAAATATTCAAGAGTATGATGGAATTAATGCCTTAAAAAAAGGCAAATCCTTCAACATGAACATGGGGTGATTATTTAAACTGAAAGATTTGATCACAAGAACTAGCATTTATTGTACAACAGTGTGAACCTTGACCCAACCACAGAGCTACATGATTTTAGTATGTTGAAGAAAAGTTCTATTCTATCTATTAAAAGAGAAAATCTTCATAGCTCTCCTCAGGAAAAAAAATAATTAAAAACTTAAAGCATGTAAACATTGTCACTTAAAAGTTAAGGCAGATAGCATAACGTAGAGAATATTTACTTAACCTTTATCTTCATCTGAGGGAAATGTGACAACTAAAATTCTAGATGTAGAAGAAAGGTTTTTCTTCCCCACATGTCCCTGTGGACAATAGGGGATCAACAAAGACTCCAGAAAAACCATGAATGTTTTATTCATGTACATGACCTTCCCTGAAGCCATCTGCAAGTATGATAGATTTATTACTTGTAACTGAGGGATCTCAAGATTATTTTCCAAGACTTCATAAAATAAATATTTTAAAACTGTTGCCTATGAACCAGTGATGGATTTCATGCATTATTAGTAGTACTATAAGAGCAGATACAATTTATGCTGATCCTGATCTCCTTGTTTACAAACTGCAAGTTTAGTTTCTTAAAAGAAGAAAAGAACAACAAAACAATAAAAGTACTACAACACTATTTTTGAACTGCCAATTCCTGTAGTGACTATAGAAATCTTACAACATTGTAAAAGGAAAGGAAAGGATGAAATGCAGACAGCTTTCCTCAGGTGAGAACCACTGTATGAAATAAAGATTCTAGAACATTTATATTTGAAAGAAAATTTAGACAGAATTGTAGTATTTATTTTGGACTACTTTAATCTAAAAAATGCTAGTTGAGAAATCTCTACAATTTTTATGAGATTAAAAGTTACATATAGAATAATCAAAATTTTATTAGAACCTGCATCCAAGAGAAGAGAATGAAAAACACAAAAGATGGTACAGTGGATCATTAATTAAATACACATAAGAATAACTGGATGTAAATTTGCCAAATGAAAATGTAATGTCATCAACATAAAGCATAATTATAAATCCTAGCTGTGATCTGCCATATGTACAAAGGTAAAAGTTAAATCTGCAAGACGTGTTCATTTATGGATTCTCTAATTTTAGTTTGCATTTCTTGAACCTCTGTCTTTTCTAGGTCATAGCTGTGATATTAACGACATAACCTTTAATGAGTTCTAGCCATATAAACCAGGATGTTCAGATCATATACAATCATAAATAAATAAATAAAATCTCATGAAAAAAATCAACCATTGTCTTAACTTCTAGAAGCAAAAGCAGATTTTACATCTTCCTCCTGACTGCATCCCAAAACTGAGATTAATAAAATCTGTCTCAGCTCTTTACTAATCCTTGAGTTGAGAAAAATCCAGGTCCAATCTCAAGAGCAGCAACAACTGATCATTTTTTATTTAGTCTTTCCCTTTTTCTCCTGAGATTCCCAGACTTGGCCTATGCTTGCTGGACTTACAAATGATTTGTTGAGGAAAGGACTAACCTGATGAGCTACACTTCTCTGTTGCAACAGATTTTCTGTTGCGTGAATAAGCAATAGGTGTGCCAAAGACAGGAAGAACCAGTCTGTAATCTAACTAGTTCTTTCCACACAAAACACTTGGGATTTAATCCCTTCTGCTCTGAGCACATACTAGTTTGCTAAGTTTTCCCTGTAGATATAGGTTTAAATACAGCTACTGATTATTCTTTATTGATAAAAGCAATCTGAAATTTTTAGCAGGCTACAACAAGCCATCATTATTACATAAGTTCCAGGAAAGTGGCATTTTTCTCAGTTCTTATAAAATGAGTAAGCCTTTAATATTGTTGGGTTGAATTAATTCGCATCTAAAATATTCTGCATCTAAAATGTTCTGGTGCACAGTAGCAGAACAGAGAAATTAACTTTCCCTTCCAGGATTCACAGAACAAGAATTACATATCCAGAAGTTTATTTAACAAATATGGACTGATTTGAGACTATCAATGCTCTTCATACTGAACTGCAAAATCTTGCGTTAAATTTCGTTCAGCGGGATCCGAAGCCTACCATGAGAGACTGTCATGGAGTTACTTTACCTTTAAGGGAGTTGGAGTTGCTGGGAACTGCCTGGAGTCTTTTCTCCTGACCAATTATTGGTCATTGCTGAGAATTGACAGCAGTTTAGGCCATTGAAAAGTGGGATCAACTTGTGAACCCTACCTTAAAGTGTAAAAGCAGAGCTCTCTGGGTTCTCTTTGTTTCCTGGCTGCGAAGGGTGGCAGAGCTCCAGGCCTCCCGTCCCTGCCCAGGCCATGCGGCCGGGCGGGGATGGGGCCGGGCCTGCCCCGTCTCCCGGCCGGGAGATGGGGGGGGGCCTGGGGAAGGTTTTCCTCAGGCCTGGGCCGGGCCGAGCCGATCTCTGGCTCGGCTGCAGGTTTTGATGTAACTACATTCACTAGAAACTGCCCAGTGAAGAGAGAGAGAGGCCCTGGACTTGCAGCGGGCTGGAGCGGCGACCACACTCTCCAGAGCAGCCATGAGGAACCTTCCATCGCAGACGGCTCCAGCTCCTGTTCGGCAGAGATCCTCGAACCATCTACAAAAGCCTGGGCAAGATTTTAACTCTTTCATTACCCAGATGAGACTTGCGGATTAATCTTTTTATCCAGAGAGAGAGAGATCAACATGAAAAGAGACTTTATAAACTACCAGTGAGAGGAAAGAAAAGAAGCTTCAGGAAAGGTAGAGAATTAAGAAGATGCTTTAATTAAGCTGAAATATCTCCCTGTTAAAACTATGGAGATGGACAATGAAGTCCTGAAAAGAACTCCTTTAATTCATGATACAGGATCTAGAGAGGAATAGTGTTCAAAGTGTAAATTTGAGTAAAGAGTAATTATAGTATAGTGAAGTGCTGGGAGATTTGAAGCCTTGAGAGGCAATGAGAAAACTGTTTTCTGGTGAAGCTCACAGAAACAGATGAAGAAGACTTTTTTTGCCTTTGAATAACTTATCCTTCAAAATGCTATCTCTAGACTCATGGCCCACACACACTTCAGAGTGTTGTGAAAATGGGAGGAGTGGGCTCTAATAATAGCAGCTCTGAGCAGCTAACATTAGGGCAATAGAAGACTATAACAAAAATAGTTTTCTTGTGAGAAACTCCATAAATTAACAGGAAGAAACTTCTGTTTCTCTATAAAGACTGGTGAAAAGACTAGCAAGAATTGGGACTGTTTTAACCATCCAGTTAAGTTAAAGTTCCAGAGTTTTTGTCTCTGTTGTCATGTGAACGGGGAAGTGGTAGGTAGATAGGGGATGGAAGGGTTTTTCTGGAGGTTTATTCTGGTGTTCTTGTTGTTGTAGTTTGTCAATAAACTTTCTTTTTTTTCCCTTTTAAGTTGTATGCCTGTTTTGCTCTTGTTCTAATCCATATCTCACAGCAAGAAGTAAGTAATTTTCTTAGTTATTGGTTTAAAACCACGACAGAGACCAGAAAAATACTGAGTTAAAAATAATAACAGAGGAATTCTAATTCTACTGAAATCAACGGTCCTCTTATTTTTCATGCACATTTGGACAAGATAACGTTATATTTGGGAGCTTTTCTTTATTTAATGAAATAATTTTGATTTAATAGACTTCAACTCAATCAAATCAGTAGCTTCCTCCTTTAGCTAGAAACCTTATCAGCTGCCCAATGAAGTTAAAAGTCAGGGAGGCAGACAGCAATGCTAAAGAGTTGATGATGGCTGTGTACATACCACCTTTCATCATTCCCACTTCATAGCATTTTCTCAGTCGGCAGGCCTGGCAGCTCTTCCTTCTGTTCTTGTCAATGGTGCACTGGTTTGTAGCAGGACACATGTAGTCATTGTGCCCTGTAAAACCAGAGGGAAAGTAAGGACACAGTTATACACAGACATAGCAAAAATTACTGTAACGCCTTGGGAAAAAAATAGCAGGGTTACCATCATAACCTTTCATAAAAGTGTTGATACAGATTTTGTAACTGACATCTCTGTGCCACACATTTATCTGCAACTTCTTTAAGTTAAAACTTCTGTAGACTAATTAAAATAGTGAAAAAATAAAGCAACCACAAAAGGGGATATATTAATATGAACAAGTGCCTTGACTTCCCTGCTCTCAGGCCAAGAAATACAACGCCATCTGGTTTTGTGTGCTTGTGCTGATGTTTAACTAATAGACTGCACAAAATGAGGTTTACAAAATTAAAAAGGTCTAAGCACAGAAGATCTATGACAGTCAGGGCCAGTTAAGAAACAAACAACATAAAACAGAAGCAACAATCCTCAAATAATTAATTGTACCTCGGGGATAAATCAGTTGCTTATTCCAGCTGCATGTCTACTGATTTGTGCAAAAACTTCTTGACATGACAAATTCTAAAATTACCACATGCTGAAACCAAGCTTGTTATTGCATTGTCTCCTTCAGAGCTCCTCTTCCTCATTTATTGCTCTCTACATCTCAATTCTCATAACAAGCAATTTTAGCATACCATTATTTGTTACTGCCAAAAAGCATCTATTCCAATTTGCTCTTAAAAAATGTGTGCTTAAATCTTCTATAAAATGATTTACCAGCCATTGACAAAGGTTAGCAAGGATGAAAAAGCCTCTTCAAAATTATCTCATTGGTGCTCTGTATTCATCTGAATACAACTTAGGTACAGCACACATATGCAAAAAAAAAAAAATAAAGAAAAAAACCAAAAAAAGTTACTGCAGAACTGTTTGTTCTTTCTTTGAGGTCAAGGGATCAGCTTGAGGTAAAGCAGGGTGGAGGTTTCACAGAGGCCTTGGTCTCATCAAATCATCTATCCTTGACTACAAATTAGAAAATAGAGTAAAAATTACTATCAGATTACACCAGGAACATCTGCTCTCTAAAGCTGCAGAACTGGGATCTCATCAAAATAAGTAGCCAACCTCTAAACTTGTTAAAAGGGGAACAGCTGACTATGCCCTGTCTCAAATTGACAGAACTATTATTTTTTCAATCTACTGGACAGAACAAAATAATACTGGAAAAGTCTGTATCCACACTGCTTTGCTCCAGCATCGTGGTAAACAGGTACAACTGAACCACCATCTCAACCCAGCACGAGAGAATGCTTTAATTTTCAGTTCCTCTGGTTGGATACAGACTGTTCTATATCTGATTCAAAACCTTTCACATGTAAGGAAACAAAAAAAAAATCAAGTCAGAAATAAAACAGTCTCAACCACACATGCAGCCACATGCAGTGTCTACAGGGGAAAAGAAGTGAAAAAAAAAAAAAAAGGAAACCCATATTTTTAAGAAAATGCATTTATATTGTTTATATTGAGTCACACTAAGCAGCAGTGAAAGAGTGCACCTGACCTTGATCACCTGCCTTGTTTCATTAGTGAACATTGGAAATACCACGAGATAAATATGGAAAATTTAATTACTCTTTTTAAAAACAAAGAAATACTTTGAAAGAATAGCTAATCTTCTTCCTGTTGAAGTTAAAAGGTAAATTCACATGGTGAATGAGTGCAGGCTTTGAAATCAGCAAATAATTCAGAACACAATTTAGATCTCTCTAAAATAAGCAGATAAATCCCACTTAGGTCGAAGCTGAAATCATGCTTACCATCTTTGCTGGATTGCTCATAGTGTTCCAAAGGTTAAAAAAGAAAAATGTGACAGAAGTCACAGATGCAAAAACCAAAAATCAAGTGTAATCAACATCATCAGGGCAGCCATCCTGTTTTTGCTATGCTTATTTGGGTGATAACCTTCTCCTTGGCTATGAGTCTGTATTTACTTGTGCAAACCACGAGTGTTTGGAAATAAACACTTGGCTTGTAGAATAGTATATAAACTAATCCTATTTGTAAGAGAGCTACAGTTTAAACATTCATATCAAAATGTTTTTCCTTCTGAAGAGTTTTATCATTAATTTACTGTTTATATGTTAACATAATTTAATATAAACATTTAAATGTTTAAATGTTAGCATAATTAGTCTGTTTTCATGCATATGATCTGCACCTTATACAATACACTGTTCACTCACAGTGCTTGGTTGATTTGACAGAATAAAGAATGTAAAATCTGGCTGCTAAAAACCAGAAGGATCAATGTGTGATGGGCATACTTCTCTAGATTGCAAATATCATTGTTTAGCCTTTCACATTTCCTGTAAATCTAGGAAAAACATAATGCATTTAATATTTATCGTTTTTATTTATTTTAACCAAAATAGCCTTCAAGAGGTGGGAAAACATGTAAGCAGCCAGAAGAAAACGTTTCATAATTTGAGTATACAGTAAAAAACATTATCAATTTAATCAGGAAAGAAGAAAGAAACAAAGGGAAGAAGGAAGGCAGGAAACTTTCCTGCTTCTCCACAATGCTACCTGATTTCAAATATTTAGTTGCTGGAAGCGAAAAAAGAAGTTTCCTTTGCAAGGCACAGACAGACTAGGGCAGTCTAGCTTGGGGCAGCATGGAAGAGAAAAAGGCAGCAAAACACAATTAAGGAATAGGTAATATACAAAAACAATTTTAAAGTGAGATAATACACAACTAAATAACCTTGCTGTAGGTGAATTTTCTTTTAACTATTCTACTTTCATCTAATGCTTAAAGCTCATCTCTCAGCAAAATTGATTCCAACCAATCTGACCTAGAAGGGATTTCTCACTGGTAGGAACTGCCAACATGAAAATCAGGCTCCCAGCAGCCCTGCCCTTTGTTTTCACGGTATCCAAAGCATGGTAGATGCCAGAAGAGAGGGTGATCAGGCTACTTGAGAGGGGGTATCACAAGGAATACCAAGAGAAAGAAATGCCTTCCATGATCACTGATACCTGTAGAGAGAAGCATAAGTCACTTGCACTCTGTGAACTTAGTGAGGCTTTTAAAAAATGAATTATCAGATAACCTGTACAAAATTAAAGGCAGTGAATTTAATAGGGTGGATCCCCTGGATTTAATCCCCTGTATGTATAACTTGTAGCTTCATGAGCTACGATGGAAGAGTTTAAGGGCTCGACTGGAAGAGCTTAGGGAGGGAGGGTCTCTTTTTCTTGTGAAAACTCATAAATTGCACATTTTAAAGCAGTAAAAATAAAATTAAGCATATAAAATTAGGAATGTTAAGGTATATTATAGCACTTCAGAATATGCTAAGGTCTCTCCAGAATGGGGTGCAAAAATCAGGCCCTTTTCTCACGTGACACTCTGAATGATAATGACCAACAGCGAAGGAGAAAAGGATAAGGATGCCTAAACTGATGTAGTTGAATTGACTCATCATGCATCTTGAACAAAACCAGTAATAATTACAATCCTCTTACTACTATGTGCTTTTCCTTTAATTATTCTTTTATTTTCAATCCTCATGTCACCTTTTTCTTAAACTATTCTTTATCTATTTGAATAAAGCAGCTACCAGCCTAGCCGTTGCCTCTGGAAGCATCAGATCCTTCTATGATCTATGACAGTGAAATTAGAAAAATTTTCATATATGTCAGCTAGGATGAAAAGAAGGAAAGGGAAGCTAAACTGTAGACTTTATCCACACCTTAAGGCGTCAAACAAGACTGAAGATGAAAACCAAACTTTGAGAGGAATGACATTAACAACAACAACAAAAAAAAACTCAGTAAAAACAAATGTTGAATGTAAAATAAAAAGTAAGAACAATTTTAAGTGCCCCAGTAAAACTGCACTGATTGGCTTTAAAATCACACTTTTTGCTAACAGCTCCACAGAAAAATGGAAGGTTATGTCTAAATCCTTTGTAAGCACTGATACTCAAATTTGCAGCTTAATTACTCTCAGACAAGGTCTTTGGATTTGGAATTTGGGTTCTCTTAGCAACTGCTCAGCATGCTGAGAAGACTAATCTTCCTCCTGGTTTTAAACAAGCAAAACATTAGTAACATGACAGTAAGGAATATGGTCTGAAAGGCTGTAAAACATACTTCATTTGCATCCAGTGAGGAAGTCCTCTTTTTCTGCATACCACAGAAGGAAAGATTATGAAATATCCTGAGTTAGAAGGGACCTGTAAGGATCATCAAGTGCACAGGACAGACCCAAGAATCACACCGTGAGCCTGAGAGGGCATTGACACACCTCAATCACAGAACCTCTGAAGAATGAGAGAGGAGAGGTCAAAATTTATATACTCCTTCAGCCATAATTAATAATAAACAATAAATAATAAAATAAAATGTTATGTCCTTCAGCTGTGTCATGGAGCTCACTGTGTTTGCCTTCTAGTGGAATCTTGTTTTCTCTTACAGATAACTGAACGGCTCACACAAGCAGGTAATTACTGCCAAATGATTATGATAGCGAACTTTTCTTAAACCTTTCCATGTACTAACAGGAAAAATGAAGAAAGGAGAATGGACACTACATGAGGCTACCAAGCCTGCTGCCATCTCACCAGTTTAATAATGCATGAACTTATGTATTGAGAAAGGGTGATAAATATAAAAAACCCACTACCTAACTTTATAAATTTATAAATAAAAAATTATATTTTCTAGTCAAGCAAATAATTTTTAAGCTTTTACTATTGGCCTTATCTTAAAATTTAATTTGTTGTTTCATCTACTATTTCAGTATTATAATACCATGTACAAAGTCTACTTCTACCCCAATCCAATTTTTCTAATTTTAGACAAGGTAACAAAATAGAAAGTGTATTTTTTCCTCATGACAAATAAAAATAGACAAAAATACTGATTCAATCTTACAAAATCTGGCAAGGAGTATGACATCAAGTTTCTGTTTCCTTAGCTGATAAATCACAATTGTTTTAAGTCCTTGGCACATGATTAAAACAACAGCTGTGTTAAAGGGAAAA